CAGTGAAAAACATCGACTTTGCCAGTATAATCATATGGGAGACGGGTGTAGTTTGCTCATAGTTATACCCCCACTTGAAAAGTCGGAGGGTATATAGTGATGGGGATGTTGGCCCACTGATACACTTTGGGGTACCCATCTCTTATCCGCAGCTTCTTTTATACCATTGAATGAAATTAAATGAAACTTTCACAGAATCTTTGTAAAACACTTCCATTTTGCACCTCCTATTTTACTCTGTAACCCGACACATATTTCGATTTTCCAGTAGCAAAACATGGACACGGCCTTGAATATTTTTTCTATAATATTGAAGGGTACCCATCTTTTATCTGCATTTCCTCCTAAGCCACAGAATAAAATTTTATGATACTTTCACAGATTCATTATATCATAATGTCATTGTGCACCTCCTACAAGTATTTAACTTTTGATCAGACATCTACATCGGGTCTCCCAGAGCAAGATATGGACCTTGCCAATATAATCATATGATTAAGTCATTAAGTAAGTTCAGTTCTCACAGTACCTCTTGTTCTTGTATTCATAATAAGCATAATTATTCTTACAAAACTATTTTTTTAACTATCCAAATGCGATTTTCTTTGAATAGAAATAAAGAAAATTGCTAGAACATGTTTTATTTTCAAATAGAAACTAGAGGCAATGTGAGCAGTGAGCTCACATATTGATCTTGTTGAAAGGTATACCGGGGTAACCTGTACATTTGTCGTATTTAGTTTTCTTGTTTCATTAAAATTGTTTGTATATGTTGAAAAGCTGGAGGGTATAAAGTGATCGGGATGTCCATCTGTCTGTACGTCCGTATGTCTGTAAAGCCTTGGGGTATCCATCTCTTAACTGCAACTCCTCTTATACCACTGACTTATTTAAAGAGACTTTCACAGTATTTGTTACATAGTGTCATTATGCACCTCCTGTTTTACTATTTGATCGGACACATATTTCAGGTTTCCAATAGCAAAACAAGAACAGTGCCATTCTTTCTATAATATCGAAGGGTACCCATGTCTTATCTGCAACTCATCCTTTACCACTATATAAAATTTAATGATACTTTCGCAGATTTTTTTTATTTCATAAAGCTATTTTGCAATTCCTGTAATACTCTTTGATCTGTCGCTTATGTCGGGTGTTACAGAGCAAAATATGGACTTTAAAATAATATGGTTGGCGGGGGTATCATTTAATGAGGTCAGTGCTCACAGTACCTCTATTTCTTTTTCACAAATTTACGGAATATCCCGTCTAACGAATAGTATTCAAGATCAAAAGTCCATAAAACAATACAAATCAGGAGCAGAGCAAACCCGGACCTCTAAATCATCAGAAGTGGGATCAGGTGCCATGGAGGAGTGAGCATTCCCTGCCGGCCGGTCACATTCGTCGTGTGCTCCTTGTCATGATCAGAAAATAACGGGAAAATTCGTCGTCAATTCAGTGTATGAACTAGAGGTACTGTGAGCAATGAGCTCACTAAATGATAACCCCCCCCCCCCCGCCTCCCATAATGTCCATGTTTTGCTTTTTTTGTTTTACGGTAACGTGTAAAGAGGAATAACTCATGGTATCTAAAGTTTTTCAGAAACCGTCATATCTCACGCCATAGGTAAGCATATAATGGCAATGTCCATGTTTTGCTATGGTAAACCTAAAATACGTGTCGGATCAAAAAGTAAAATAGGAGGTGCACAAGGGGAATATGTAAATAAAGATTCTATGAAAGTATCATTAGATTTCACTCAGTGGTATAAGAGGAGTTGCGGATAAGAGATGGGTACCCCAAAGCGTAACAGACAGACGGACGGACATACCGATGACAGTACACCCTCCCACTTTTCAAGCAGGGGGTATAATAATGGACTAACCATTAGTTTGAAAAACGTCAGTCAGCATTTGACTCAATGATAAGTTGTATTTACTGACAAGGTCATCATATCGACCGTAGAACTTAAGAAATGACTTAAAACGAGTCTGCTGATATTCTTGTTTAATCAACAGAATGAAATAAAGTATGATATTAATACCCCCGCTTGAAAAGCGGGAGGGTATATAGTAATCGGTATGTCCGTCCGTCTGTTATGCTTTGGGGACCCATCTCTTATCCGCATATATTTTGGATTTTCCAGAGCAAAACATGGACACTGCCATTATATACATATGGGAGGCGGAGGTATCATTTAGTGATCTCAACTGTGAAAAAGAAACAGTAAAATGTAAACATTAAAACAATATTAAACAATAAGAATAAAAATACAGTTATATCCTTAATTCATAGAATACTAAAGGCGATTGTGAGTGTATTTGAATCCTATTATGGAAGTTAATAATTATTTTTGACTGGAATTGTAAGATTTGTTGGGGGTTTTTTTTCTTGCATACTCAAATTCAATCCATAAATTGTGTTGAAAACATCAATGATTTTAACCGTTGAGTAACGTAGCTTCGCGCACTTTTTAAACTAACATGGTTTTTCGCACAAATTAACGTCGCATTGATATAATGCACAATTCTGTAACGAGACAACAAAATATATATTAAAAGTAGTTTCTAACCTAATATTAAGTTTATTTCACTAACTTAAAACATAATCTACATATATTATTGGAAGGATTTTGATATGCTTTTGGGTGATCATCAAATGCAGCCGTCTTTGTGTCCGTTCTTTATAAAGCAGTCCTTTGCCTTGGCCAGACACAGAAACCGTGCAGCTCATGTAATTTCTGTACTTCCTGTACATAACATGACTCTCAAGCGCAAGATGATAGTAGCATTTTTCATCTGTTTGACCGCTTTCCATGTTAAATAGCTGGCATTTTTCAGGGTTAATTTCTGAAATCTAGCATCATAAAAGATACGTTCTGCCGCAAAATTTTAGACCCTAAATGTAAAAAAATTTCTTTTTAATAGTAACAGTTTACTGTTTTAAAAGATAAACAATACCTTATTATCCTATTGTCTTTCTGACATACTTTCTATTTATCAAAACAAAAATATGCAGTAGTCATAATGCATATTTTTATTGATAAATAGAAAGTGTCTCAGAAAGATACTATACTTTGTTATGACTTCCTTATGCATTTTTTTTAAAATTCTTTATTTTTGTTTTACACATCCTGTTATTTAATACAATAAATGATGAATAACAAATACAGGTGTAATTTTTTCATTTTAGAATGCATGATAGAAAAGAGGGAGGAGTGATTGTCATTTTTCGGAGCTATATGTCGACAAAACCAAGACGAGTATGGAAAATGAGAAAATTGCTTAGTAAAATACTCATCTTTAGAGGTCAGTTCGAAAAATTCAACTAAATAATATCACAGAAAGCTCGGTTAATTTAATTTGTAAATTGCTACAGTAAAGTCATACATATGTTACAAAATTCCATTTATAAATAAAGTCCCATTTAAAATGTAAACTTTGAAAACTTAAGATAATGATTTTAAAAAATATGTGCCTTTGATATGAGATATGAGATACATTGTATTCTATACATATTAGGGTTATGTCTTGAACTGAAGTTCGGTAATGTTTATTTTTCTTGCAAGAAGAATGTGACCTTAATTTGTGCGAAAAACCATGATATTGCATCATTATACAGCATAACAGATGTACATATATTTAGATCACGATCAAATAACTGTCCTTGTATATACAAGTTTTCACACACTGTGTAAATGAGATGCGATAAACAATAAGTAGAAAACTGTCATGTATTTTAAGTATATCTGAAATAATTGTAGAAGAGTTTTCCCTACACTTGACGATAATAAGGATTTCTTCCTTCTTTTAAGTGACATGTTAAGTGAATTTTTTGTGAAATTTTAAAAGATATTGAAAATATTGTAAATTTTCCGTCATTGTTAATGAAGGGAATACACATGAAACAATGAGTGGAATAGAACATTTTAATTTTTTTCCTGTTTTAAAAAACTTTTTTGGAGAGTCCACTTAATGCGTTTAATTGTTGTGTCTATAAATCTCATATAAGAGATAAATCTAAAGCTTATCATTAATCATTAAAAATTATTTACTTTATTACAAATGGCTGATTTTTAAAAAAAATTATCGTCTTTTTTCAGCATTTAAAGTTACTCGTAGTTTCTAAGATATTCCTCTTTTCACAGAGTATAAGTGATAAAAAGAAATTAATAGTTTTTAACAAGAGTGATGAAGTAAAAATTATGTGTATTACAAATATACGATTATATTATTTTTGTTTCTCTTTTTTAAATTAGTTTTAACAATTTAGCGAAAAAATAAAATTTTAGGAAAGCATAATATTTTTGAAATATTAAGTGTATTACGTAGGTGCAAATGGAGAGAATTTTTAAGGTATTTTTATGACATAAAAGCATAATATTCTACAGTCTTTCTCAATCGCATTTCAGATTAATATATATACACCATAACAAATACACTGGCAGCAATTTTGTCACTTGTTCGTGGGTCATGCGATCAAAATGATATTACTTTGATATACAGCCATGTTTATGCTGATCTAAAAAGCTTGGAGCTGTAACCTTTCAGTGTAGATAAATATAATTGTTGTAAGAATATTCAAACTTCTAGTAAAAAGATACGGGAGTAAGAAGTCTTTTCATTTCGGTGGACTGTGTGAAAGAAAAATACCCAGACTTCAGTTCTATATTAAGAACATTGATATTGCTTAGAAAATAATATCACATGTCTATTTTAGTCCAGCCAGTACTTACATTACTTGAGCAGGTGCCCATTCTTCTACACTTATGTTTTAATGATTATCTTGAGCACCATTCCTGTGATCATTTATTTGAACGTTGTTATAGAGAAAGAGGTCATGCAATTTGGTGGGCTTATAAGTACGTCCAACACACTGCGCGATGATACAGTAGATTGTGTGATGATAGAGACGGACAAGCCGTTGCTCTGGACCATGGGAATTTCCGTATCAAAGGTAATTAAGAGGTTGTTCTTATCTATATTTAGAACTTAATTTTTTTTATTACTTATTTGAAGCAAATTAATAATACTGAACAAAGATGCTCAGAAAAGATAGGATAATTTGTTTTAAAATTTATAATTTTTAAATTCATGGTTGATATTTTACTTTTAGTATTTACATATAGTTTATTGGCAGAGACAATCGTAATACTTCTGCAATGAAAATTCAAATGTTTGAAGTTGAGCACAATTCTAACTGATATATCTTGCATATTTATTCTTTAGTCGCTGGCATGTCTTGACAAACTGAATTTTTATCGTTATTTTTAATGGAACCCAAATTTTAACAAGATACTAAATCTTAAACTGTTTCCCGGCTGCAAAAGCGTCGAAAATGTACTTTTTGAGAAACTCTCTTGTCAAATAAGTCCGTAGATACTGAAGGGTACCATATGCGCCTGTCACCTATAACGATTTGTATCTAAATACATATACCGCCGGTAGTTAGCATCGTGCAAAACAGGAGCAAAAAAGCACTAAAACGTAAAAGAACAACTAGAAAATAACTAAAAAGAAGGTACGTTAGGCACCAAAATCCGCCTAGTCCCAAAATCTGGTGATAATATTTAAATAGTTTGTCTTGAATACCCCTGTTCTAAATCAATTTATTTTTTGAAAATATCTCAAACCGTTTTCCCTACACAACTCACTAAAAATGCAATGTTTTCTTAAGAAAATAATACTGACGACGTCATGACGTTCACATGGCGTTATCAAATTTCAACGTAATGATTTCGGTACAGCGTAAAGAATTGTACATTTCTCAACCTAAAAATTTATATTCTCTTAAATAAATTCATATTTAAGTCTATTTCACTTTATTTTTTTTATTTAATCTGTTCTACACTTTTCAGGGTTTTTTTCTTTATATGAACTGATATTTACAATACCGTGGTCATTTAAGGAGATAATTTTCCGAGAAAACTACATGTATTTCACCAAGAAAGCGTATTAATTGTAAAAAATTTTTCCCCTCTCCATTTCCCTAAAATTCAAGATATTAATTAAAATACTAAATTAAATTTTGAGATACCAGTATACCATACAATCATGCTTACCTTTTATTTACTTATTAGATATATACATGTACGAGAATATACATACACAATGATATGTATACACGCTTGAAAGCGCAAGATGTGCTTTTACTGCGTACAAAATCTTGACTGCAACAAAATTATCACAGTTTTTATGCCAACATTTTCCTTGAAATTTTTTCGTATTAAAGATTTATTTTTGATTAAGCTAAGACATTATCTATGCATTACTTTGTTTCGGTTTTATTACTACAGTATAGTAATTTTTAATAGTATATAATCATTATTGATATGAAGCTTAATAAGGTTACATATTTTTTAAAAATAAAGAACCGACAAATATATTTACTCAGTATGTTACGTGTCTGAAAGAGAAAATATTCCCAACAACGACAGCTATGTCATCCCCTGTCCTTTGACAATCACGCATACTCTGTATTTAGTATTTGTGGTAGTCGGGTCGGTTATTATGCTTCTATAATAATGTACATTACACATGTATTATTGTAACGTGAAGCGGTCACCCATCCAAGAGTTAAACAGGCTCGCCATTGCTGAAAACCTAACTCACTAGTTACATAGTTATATAAGTTACATATATACTACACCCCCCCCCCCCCCCCGGCTTACGGAAGCTTCGACCCTAAGCTTAGCATGAGTGACTGGACCTCTTCATTACCGGCAAATAAAGTCGTCCACGAATACAAAGTCCGTACCTGGACACAAAGTGCTAACCTTAGAGCTTCTTGATCCTAGCTCTAAGACTTCCTGAAGCAAAGTCACCAAACAGCAGAGTCATAACGCTGTCATCAATTTTGTGAATTTCCGCGATTTTTAAATAGCTACGGTAAGCACTTCATAGGCGTCGGAACCGGGGGGGGGGGGTTAGCCCCCTCCCCCAATTTTTTCCCTAATATATACTTAGCATAGACATTGAACAATGCTTCGTAGGTTTAGCCCCCCCCCCCCACTTTCCACAGACACGTCGCAGTATAGGTTAAAAAATGGGTGAAAGTGGTGGTGTTTGGAAAAAAAAATTGGTACTGAAGTTCGAACCCCCCCTCCCCCCACGAAATAGGATTTTCGTGTTTGGGAAATGGATATCCCCCCTTTTTTTTTGGCTCGTCAGGTTTTTTTTGAAGGTATTAAAAATTTTTTCACACTTAGCCCCCCACTTTCAATTTGCTTCCGATGCCAATGCACTTATCAACAAACGGTTGCCAAAACATACCTGCATTTACATGACATTGTATTTCCCTCCTTACATATGTGCAAATGCATACACGTGCGAGACATAATATACGATGAATTTATTTTTAGAAAGTTCAATAATTTAAAGAATGTTGATCTATCTTACCGATCAATAAAACCGATGTAATTAAGATAGTGGTGATCAAGGAGAAACACATTTTACTTAGCTCTCGGAATTAAGAGGTTCTCAACTGTAAATGGTAAAATACCGTAAGTCGCGGAAAATCAAAAAATATAATCGCGGAAAAGCAGTAAATCTTGTTTTGGAAACGTCAGATGTTTTTTCTCGGAAAAGTTGTGTCGAATCGCGGAAAAGAGAAACTGTGAAAAGAACATTTAAATGTGTGATAGACTCTACCATGCTACAAAACAATCTCGCAGCTCTACATTAATAACACACAACTTTGTGCGTGTAACTGCACATATAGTCAATTTCAACTTTGTGGTGTGGATTCAGAACTTTTAGGAGTCTTCTTGGGAAACTGTGTAACAAGATCACATCATAGAAGAGAACACCCCCCCCCCCACTACACCTCCCACTCCCCACCGCCAAGACACTATATTTCTGAGACATGAAAACCGTTCTGTACAGTTAATATATTCGTAGCATAGCTAAAACTAATGTCTTTTATCAAGTCTAATACAAATTTTTTTTTTTCATTTTTAACAGTGTGCCATATTTTGATATATGTACATGTAATTTATATCATAACAGAATATAAGTCAACATCAATAAAACTGAACTCTTAGTTATTAATTAAGGGGCGGCCATTTATTTAATTTACGGTAGGGATCGGTAATTTTCAGATTATTTACTTTTATACCGCTGTATGACAGCATATATATGTGCTTTTCCAAGACAATTTTATTTCCCTGTAAATTTGACAAGCATGAAAATCAAACCTACATACAGAGTCTGGGACGTGTGTAGGTACCCCCAGTCAAGGTCAGATTATACTTCATTACTTCATTCCCAGAGGAGGATAGAATAATTATTTGCAATAATGGCTGTACGCCTGTTTGTTTTGTTTTGTTTTTTGAAAAACTGCACTACCCTCTTTCGAGAAGAAATGCTCGTTAAGAAGCTGTAAATCGATAATCATAATTTTAGCGATTATAAAACACGTTTTATTACTGACAATGCAATGTGACAAAAAAGTTTTAAAAAAATCGCACTCTGAAGTTTTTTTTTTTTTTTTCTAGCAATAGAATTAATTCAGTCTATTGTGAAAATGGCAATCTGAAGTCGGCCTTTCGCGCATTTAGTCTAACAATCTTTTCTCGTCCAATATTGTTCTTGAAAAGATTTATAGAAGACGCCACCCTTTTATGTGTTTTCTTTTAATATCGTCAATTGAAATTCAATTGTATTTACTTATTTACCGCTGTCTGTGTTCAAGTCGACGAAAGAAAATTCCGAATCCGATTTTACACAACTTTTTTAGAACAACGACGCTAAAATGCAATTGCTAAGTAAAATAAGAAAAGCAAGTCGTAAGAAGACAAAATGCAAGTGCAAGCCAGAAAATGAATATTTATTCATCTGTTTACTCTCAGGACTTATATATATATACACTGGACAAAATTGCTAACGCACCACCTAGAAGAATTAATGTTTTAAGTTTAAAAACCTGTTTATGATGTATTTGGTATATAAATATGTTTCTTTAATGAAAAATGAGGCATATTAATGTCAAACCCTATAGATTACTACAATGTTTACTGAAGTGTGACCAATTCAAGGAAAATGATAAAATCGTTTCTATTCCATTTTCGAAGAGAAAAAATTTAATTTTTTCTTCGTATTTGTGTTCTTTACATTCGTACTAATTAAGAACTCAGAAAAAAGTTACACTTTATGCTGCATTTGATGCTGGAGGAGCATGCTAAAGCAGACACTATGGCGTCTGCAAGGGGTGCCTTTACGGAAATCTGTAAAAAAGGAAAACAATACAAAGCTTATCAATTCCACTCATGAAAAAAATGTTGCAAATAGATTAGCAAACATAAAAATATTTACAATAGATAGCCACCGCATTAAGTTAGCAGTATGCAATAAGTTGAAAATTGTTCCACATTCAACGGAAGTTGAGTTGATTTGGTATGGACACTAAGGCATCGAATGATTACTAGGCAATATGAGAGTTAACGACGATTTGTTATTTGATTCATAACTTGAGGACTACTCCTGTGGAAACCTCACAGACCACCTTTAGTGATCAAGAATTTCATATCTGGGCAAAAATGTGCAAATCGAAATTGGTTATTGGACAAGAAGGTCATTCAAGTGTCTTTTCATGATAGCAAGACATTTGTCAATCCCACTGTTTTGGAAATAATGGCATATTATATACACTAGCAGTGATCTGGCAAATGTTCAATTCACAAATAAGAATCAACAAGTGGTGCGTTAGCAATTTTGTCTAGTGTATATCATTTATTTATAACTCATTTAAATAACCCCTACAACTTTGTTGTAATTTGTGGGGGGAAAAACAACAATGCGGAATCTGTTAAAGTATTGTTTGTAAAAGGAAAAACAAGGTGCACACAAATTGTCACGGGAAGGGACGGGGGGAGGGGGGATAGGTTAAGATTTTTTTTTTGCAAGAACGTTTCTGAAAGTTACGTGTGGAATTATTTGAGATTATTATAAAGGTAAATTGTACAAAAAAAAAATAAATAAATAAAGTTTTAAAAAAAACCGGTTCTCTCAAACGAAGGGGCGTGCTTCCCCCCCCCCCCCCCCACATTTTATAATTAAATTACATTCTATACTTACAGTATAATGAACTTGTAACATGTATTATGCAATATTTAAATATACATAAAGGCATTAGTTTTTATTTATAATACCATTTTATGTAATACACTGAAAACAATGAAGCCCACTTATATGATCTTTATACAATCGGGTGTACGAGATATTGGTATTTACAGTGACAATGACTATAGTTCTTTGTTTTGAAAAAATTTATAATTGGATTTAAGTATTTCAGAAGGAACATGCAACAATTTATTTGTTAACAATTTTACAAACATTTTTTTTTAATTTTAAATATAGATTTATTGGCGAACGTATTGAACATATTGATGGTGAAAACAATTAACTTTTCTCGTCCACATAATCTCAGGATCTCTTCACAAAATTTATAAATTGTCATATATCTTTCAAATTACTTTTCCTAAGGAATTTTGAAGTTCTAAATAAATTTTATCAACAGCAACTTAAAAAAAATAGAAAAAAATAAATTGTTTTATCTATTGTGTCATCTATAGTTTATTGCGTAATATTCATATTTGTATAATATTCATAATCATTTCCAGGCGAGAAACAAATAGTTATATCAGTTGCAAAACAAACATAAAAAGTTTTTATATTTGCACATTTTTTATCTGGAACATTTACAATCTTTTTTATATTTTTTGTTTTGGGGGGCCATGGCAATGAATAACACTTTTACTTCAATCGTTAAGATTGCTGATCTAACGTTATCCCTATCGGTAATTTTCACCTGAAGGGTGGCTAAAGTAAATTGTCTACCTAATTTATTGTTCAGCCTATGTTCTTAATGATAATGATTAGACTTAATTACTCATTTTGTAAACTATTTTAAAATTTTTACAGCAATTACGATGCCTTTAATTAAAAAATAAGTTCACATTATATTTCTCAACTTGAAAGGGACATATACCAATTTTAACATTGGCCGCAGCTGTCGATTCACAAGATGTTGTTAAATCGAAACATTGTTGCGTTATAAAAATTATATATAAGTTTCATGAATCGCGTTCATTGCGGCCAAAGTGAATTTTGCGATCAAAGATATGAAAACTGCCATCTTTGGAGCATATATTGATACATGGTATGGTTTTGAAACAGCGTTTGTGTGAGCCATTTTACAAAAAGCACAAAATATATCAACACTTTATTTCTGAAGATAATTGTTTATTTTTGATGAATTTCCTAGAAAACAACGTAATTTAAAACTTAAAACTCTTCCTATCATTTATTCGTGTCTTTTTTTTTTTTTTTTTTTTTTTTTTTTTGGCAAAAAGTCCATTACTATTCAAAGTGTGCAATTAATTATGTCTTGTAGCAAAAACTAAAGACTTAGAAAATTATTTTCAATTCGAGCACTTGAGCAGTTGAAAGAATTCATTCAATGAAAGTTGGGTGTGGGCCAAGGTTATTTTTATTTTCATAAAAAAGAGTAATCACAAGACACATCATATAAACTCAAATTTTAAGTAAATAATTCAAAAATTATTAAAACATTTTCATCCTGTATTAGTATTATGTTGTGTAAAACAAAGGCGTAGTTAAAAACTAAAATTTTAATTAAATCTCACCCGAGCTGAAAGCAGAGCTGTAAGGAGTATAATCAAGTTGAAATAAAAAAAATCCTTGTTCGTTAAATACATTGATATACACTAGACAAAATTGCTTACGCACCACTTGTTAATTCTTATTTGTGAATTGTACATTTGCCGAATCGGTATTAGTGTATTTAATATGTCAATATTTCCAAAACAATGGGATTGATTAATGTCTTTGTATCATGAAAATACCCTTGAATGACCTTCTTGTCCGTAAACCAATTTCCAACTGTGCACTGTGCACCATTTTTGCCCAGGTATGAATTTCTTGGTCTCTAAAGGTGGTCTGTGAGTTTGCCACAGGAGTGATCCCCCCCCCCCCCCAGTTTTAAATCAAATAACAGTCATTGACTCTCATATCGTCTAGTAATCATCCGGTGCCTTGTGTCCATACCAAATCCACTCAACTTCCGGTTGACCTAGTTTTGTGGAACAATTTTCAACTTATTGTATGCTGCAAACTTAATGCCGTGGCTATCTAAAGTAAACATTTTTATGTTTGTTAATCTATTTGCAACAATTTTACATGAGTGGAATTCATAAGCATTTTGTTGTTTTCATTTTTTTTTTTTTTTTTTTTTTACAGTTTTCTCTAGAGGAACCCCCTGCAGACGCCATACTGTCTGCTTTAGCACGCTCTTCTAATGTTAAACGCCACATACGGTGTAACTTTTTTTCTGGGTTTGTAATTAGTACAAATATAAAGAACACAAATAAAAAGAAAAAAATTGAAATTTTTTCTTCGAAAATGGAATAGACACGATTTTAATTTTTTCTATGAATTGGTCACACTTCAGTAAACATTGTAGTTATTTATAAGGTTTGACATTAATATGCATTATTTTTTTATTAAAGTAACATATTTACATATCAAATACTTCATAAACAGGTTTTTAAAAGTAAAATATTAATTTTCTTAGGTGGTGCGTTGCAGTTTTGTCTAGTGTAGATATTGAAAAGACATTGTTCATACATGTATGATCTATTTTGCATATCACTTACCATGCCTCCGTTTCAATTCAATTCTATGATTTTTTTTTTAAAATTCACCGAAAATCCGACATTATTGTATCCAATAACTAGCAAAACGGAAAAATAAACAAAAGTTAATTTCCAATTTTCAGACATATTTTAAAGTAAGTAATCCAGTACAATTAAGCAACCTATAGGTTTATAGCCTTAATTTATAAACATTGACATTTTGATACAGGTGATAAACAATTAATAAAGGTAAAAAAAAATTACTGTTAACATTAACGATGCCCTTTATTTCACCATCAGTATTCATCCTCAATTCTATCCATTTTAAAGTGGCAAATATCCTGCAAATGAATGCGTTTTTTCTCCAATGATTATTAAATACAGGTGTTAATAAATAAATAAAGGTAAAGATATTTTTATTATTAAAATTATCTATGCCCTCAATTTGACTAAAATCTTTATCCTTAATTTCTTCTTATTTCAAAATGGCAAATAACCTGCAAATGATTCCTCCATGCTTTTTTCCCTCCACTGAACAAAATAAATATAATATTCAAAATTTTTGCAGGTTTTCCCAACATGATTCATCCACAATATTATATTCAGAATCTCCTTTGCTTTCCTAACTGCAAAACACAACTATAACAGGTAACAATGCAGCTACTTTCTCCCTTATTTTACACGATTTGCTCACTCTTGCAAACGCTGTGTCTGAATAATTCTTAAATTTTATATAAGAATGTTTTTGGTGAGAAATGATCATCGAATCACTACCAGAATGCTTGAAACGTAATGAATTGTTTTAATTTAAATATTTCATTTCTATTTTACAGGCAAAGTTTTTACTTTTTCCTTATTTACGACTGTAATTGAGAGAGAGAGAGATTCTTTCAAATTTGTTTATACCATGGAAAATGAGTGTACATTTTCTTTGTTATTTCTGTCTTTGATTTAATTACTTTTTAAGTAAAGTTTTGTAAGAATAGTTTAATATGTACTATTTTTTCTCGTGTGAAGGTGTAAATAAAGGTGTGTCACTTACTCAATTACTCAGTATTAAATTAAATTATAGTGTGATGTAAGTTTTTATTGAAATACATATACTCTTAATTTTGTATTTGTTATGTGTTAATTGTGTCTGTCAGGATCGTAAAATTTCACAAAAATTTCTTATGAAATGTTTTGTGTTAGTTAATCTAGATTATTAGAGAAATTATTTATCATTACACCTCATAACTATCCAACAGTATTTAAATAATTCAAAAAAAAATTTTAAAACATTTTTATTATTTTTCTTATTACTTACCTCCCTCGCTGATGTTATCGCAACCATCGCTGCAAATTCCATCGCCAGTATATGACAGCGAAAACTGCCGATGAAGTTTGCAACGACTATTACAATTCTAAAATGTTCTTTTTGATGAGAAGCTTTGAACACCAGTGTGAAATGAATTTTACTAGGAATGATCTGCAATTTAAAGTAAAAATATGCTATCAATTTCCTGTAATCATTTTACTTTTCACATGTTTGTTTAATATTGAGTGGATTTTAAGTAGTTATAATTTATCACAAGGGTAGAGTCTACACACGACTCTATTATTATACGTATTTTATGTAAACTTTGCATCAAAATAATTTGCAAAACTATTGGACAAAAATCAAAACTCTCTGTTTTTAATGACCACAATTTTAATTACATTATCTAATTTAGTTAGTCACATTTTAATTTCAAGTGATTGAACTGTCAATCGCGATCGTAATATCTGGACACCTGTCCCTTCTTCCCGCTTGTTTATATACTGACCCAACAAACATCTAAAATATTGAAAAGGAAAACAAATAAGTAGGCCAGCTGAATGCAAAATCAGCAAATACAAAAATTAGGGAAACTTTTAAGGAAAAATTATCGAGTTTGATTTTGTCTGATTTCTTCTTTAGAAATTATATGTTTAAAAAAAACTGTTATTGAAAAAAAAATTACATTGCATTTTGGTTTCACATGTACATGTACCTTACCTGTGTCATTCGACGAATCCAGCATTGTAAATAATTCAAAATATCGATTCATACTTTCAAATACGTTTGAACACTTTGAAAAAATTTGAGAGATGTTTCTCAAATTACAATGTGGAACTTTCCTTGTTTCACTATTTCTTTCACTTTTACAATTAAACATTTTTTGAAAAACGAAGATAATTAATACCCCTTTTAATGTTTAGTCGTTTGCTGGGAAACGGTTTGTTAAATATTAATTTCCGTAACGGGAAGATGCTAAGTGTTTTCAATGGTTTCCTATACTTGGAGTTATTTAAGAAAGATCTATTTAAGGTAGTGTCTATTTACAATATATTTGAACGATAATGTGTTTTAATCATTATCATTTATTTATATTTTCGTTTTTAATTTGAATAATACACTAATTTTTTCATGGTGATTTTGAAATATCTTTTTCATTATTATTTTTTTGAAAACTGAATTAATATTAATTAAATTTTTTTTTATAAAATTCCATAGTTTCATTCTGAATTGTTCACTTTTGTGTTACACATTGTAGTTATGAAAGTTGCTATTTTATTGTAAATACTTAATATTTTCAAAATGTATTGCATATTGATTGCATAAATACATTTTTTTTAATTTACATTTTTGTAGTTTTTAACTGCCATTGTTGTGTTAATTTTTGAAAAGAAAACTTTAAATCACGATGAGAGTGTGTTAGCAGGTAATGAATTTAGACTTGCATTGGTTATAAAAGAAAGTAAGATTTTATACGATATTTGGCTCAACCTTTTGTCGTAAATATCAGAGACTGGGAAACATTTTATTTAAACTCATATTATCATGGTTATATGAAAAAAAAAAAAGAAAACTGAATTATTTTAAGTTAAAACTAGTATGAATAAAAAACATGCATTTGAAGTTCGACCTTTACGCTTCTTGTGAAAGAAAGGGAAAAGATTTTAAAGTCTTAAATTTTCATCCACTGCATTATGTTTTACTGAAGTAATCCTTTACTTTGGTACAACGGATGATTTTATGATGTCAAAGGAATCATCTTAGAAATTTGCAGGATAAGGACATACACTTATAAAAGAGATACATGTAGTTACATATATAGATATGTATAACCCCTCATATTTTATGTTCCCATGAAGCAGGAATTTTCAAAATTACTACATGAGAAAAAGATTGCTGTGGCCTTCAACTCGCCATTAGGATATTCTGACCATTTAGATTCTTCCATTCATATGTCGACGTAATATATCCCTGTGAATTGAAAATAGGGCACTAAAGAGTCTATCAAAGTCTATTTCATTTTTGATTTTTTTTCTTTTGACCATAGACTATACGAGTCAAAACTTAACTAAATACTAGCTCTTTATGACAACGGACATGTCTTTAGCTTATAATCATTGGCTTTCCTTTTTATGTTTCAATATTCCTTATCGTTTGCATATAGTAGTTACGTCTCCAAACGTATTTGAAGCTTTGAGTAAACTTTTAAAATCTAGACAGACTAATGACAGATAAGATGATGTTACGGGGATATTATCAACCTTGGTTAAAGTAAGCATTTCGTAAAATTATAATAATCTTGTTAGCACTTATAACCTATCATTTGAACGCATATTCACTCACATAATTATTATGTAATACCAATTGCTATGCCTTTGTTATAACACTAGACATGACATTGGATTCTTCCTATCTAATTTATAAAGATCGAGGTGAGCGTTACCAGTCGAAAGGAGACGTTTACTCCTCATTCACACCTGATCCCACCTTTGTGATTTACTTGGATCCATGTTTATGTCCTTATCAGTTTGTTTACTTTTTTTGATATTGAGCACAGTCCTTTATCTACACCTTTTACATGAAAACTGTGCTTATGAGAGGAGGATTTTTTTATTATATCAATTTCTTAAAAAATGTCACAAAATCATAATTTTACCAGGTGGTTATATCAAATAGATTGAAAGCTACCGTTTTATTTTAGGAACCAGGTCAGATCAATACCGTTTTTGTTTTCCTTGACATAGAGAATCAAATGTGAATCATTTTATCGCGTATTTCTTTAATTTACTTCAGTCACGAAGGGTCTGCTAGATTATACTAGTACCAGCCTGAGATAAATAAAAAAAAAAGTAAATTTTTGCCAACCCAAATATTCTATGATTTTCTTAAATTCTGGTAAATTTGAGAATTTTAGGACTTTGTATATTTAATTTTTTCATATATGATGGAATAGTAGTATGAAGAAATAAATTTAAACAAAAATAAGTTTTGAACGTTAAATGATTGAGAATTACACTTTTTGCTATTTTTTTGCGGGAAACTGTTCTTGAATTAGAAACTTTCAAAAGCCACGTAAATTGCAGCTTAATTGTAAGGAAAATAATTTGCATTTCATTGTTTAAATTGTAGTAAATAAGCATAAATTTCAGTATTCTTCATAAAATTCCATTTATAGCATATCTTTTGTTTTCACAAAAGTGAACTAATTTCATTATTTGTTAGGTAAAAAAAAAATCAAACAAAAGCCCCTGTAAAATTTCAAACTCAGTTATCTCTATCTGAAGCTTGAGAAAGAAGAGCAAATTTTTATCTTCTTAATTCACAATAATTACATACGAATGGCATGTAAAGAAAAATACTTGAGTATTTCAGTGCGCCAGAAACCAGACCTGTAGGATTTAAAAGAAAAACCTTTATCAAAAGTTGCATGTATAAACATGTTCATGTTTTGAAACAGTATAGCATTTGGTAGAATAAAAAAGGAACTTCTACTCTAGTACCGAATGATTGTTTTTGTTTTGTTTTTTGTTTGTTTGTTTTTTTTGTTTTTTTGTTTTTTTTTTTTTTGATTTTTATTATTGTTAATACATGTAATTTTTTAAAACTTTACAGGTTACTTTACACGATTCACATTAAATTTCTTCAAAGAAAATATTTTTTACTCAATGAAGTCATTTCTAACTTCCAAGAATTATTTTAAATATACTAGTATGCCAAAATAAATTGAGAATTATATTCCTTCTTTTATTTAAGGTGATTTTGATTAAAGTAACAGATGTGTATTTATTTAAGTTGTTTTCATGTGGTGCATGTATGAAAATGATGTATTACCTATTGAAAACAACTGTATTTAAATTTATATTTGGATCAGTTTATCAACGAATACTTTCTTGTCTATACGATGAAAATGTATATTTCGCCTCAATTTGTTTATTTTTTTTTTTTTGCTTCCTGTAATGCATAATTAGTCAATTTTCTGAATATCCAATCAAATTTTATGTTTGATTCAAACGTATATTCCACACTAAGAACTGTGATTAAAATTATCCACTCTGGAAAACGATTACATTTCCTGTTGAACCTTGGTTTCATTTTTTGGATATCGTAAATAATATTAGCAATTCTGTAAGTACATAACTATCTTTATCATTAACAAATCATATGATGTGAGTTAAAATTCAGGAGAGTAATAGACAATATATCCTATATACGTGATTAGATACTTCTTCTGTCCGAAAATTATCAAAACTACTATTTTATTGTCATAAATCCTTTCATTTTCACAAAATAAAATATATCCTTGAAATGAAGAAAATTGGAAATCTGTCAAGGATTAAAAATATATATATTAACTTAAGGAGGCTTTGAACACTGCACACTAATGAGATCCATTTCTAGGGTAGTTTTATGCAATTAGAGTGATCTGCCCTTAGAAGTAAGATTATTTTTTTTTAAAGTTATTTATATGAGTTTTAATAAGTTAAAATATTTTTAACATAATTCAAGACCAAGAGTAAGTTATTGAATTCATTATTTTCATAAATTTTCCCAATGTAAGTGAACAGCAGTGATTTCTGCTCACAAATAGTCCATTGTCTTTGAACATTTTTCCTGCGGAAATAAGGCTGTTACTATGTTATGTATGAATGAAAAAGTCTCAATACGCACACCTTTATAGGATATTATATTTTTCTCCAAGTCCAACAAGCAGTTTCTGTTAGTGTTTAAAGCTTCCCTAAACAAGAACGGTCAAAAATGTATGCACTGCACACCTGGGAAAGGTGATCATAAACAATATCGGATGTGAAGCCCTTGTTTTTAAACACAGGGGTTTGGCGGAAGGTTATCAAAATTGCAGTTGTCATTGATATGGTTAGTCCACCTTAAAGGTCATACGAAACAGTTCATTACACCAGGATTTTACTTATTAAACATAAAGACTGGTATGAAAGAATGTTAAATTACGTCTGGTAAAAAAAAATTTCTTTTGTTTTACAGAAAAATGAAGACCTAAACTTGTCCACTTGATAAATTTGTTACTCGCTTATCGTTCTTGATTTTGTGTTTGTATGACGTCACAAAGACCCATTGATGTTAACAACGCATTAGATCTAGTGTAATTTTACTGTATTTTATCGAGTTAATTTTAGTCTTCTTTGTGGATATAAATGTGATTATGTTTTTCGATGAGCTACCTGATTCTAAGGAACAGTTCACTTTATTTGAACTTATCGTTAATTTAGGCACAGCAACTGAAAACGAGAGCTTTTCATAGTAAGATGATCCTGATGAAAACCCCGTTGAAATCAAGATTTTTCACCCCAACCAAGATTACTTATTTTAAATTAAAACATTTTTGTTATGTAATCCTTTGTGTTTTTAGTATACTATATGGCATAATAGATTTGGATATTTAAAACCTGTACATTAAGTCACCTGTAACCGTACATTAAGTTGACAAAACTCTCAATTCTTAACTTAATCGACAACATTTTGTCAACTTAATGTACAATAAAAGGTAACTTAATGTACAGGTTTTAAATGTTGAAAACAATACATAATTAAAATAGGCGATTAAATTTCTAATTTAACGCACAATCATGCAAAAATATAAAACAACTGTATATGAAATGTTCAACAGTATATCATCATTGGAAATGACAAATCCAATGCAAAAAAGACACATGTGTAAATCCTGATGCATAATAACTCTAGAACATCCACATCCAGAACTTTTATTAAAAAACAAACGTTTCATCCTCTTCACAAAATTTGTAAATGAATGCTGGACGTGGTAGATCCATTCCATGAATGTTTAGAATATATCCAACAGCAATTTAAATTTAAAAGAAAAAGGCTTATTTTCCGATGAAATGATAATCTCACTAGATGCACTGCAGGTGGAATCATTTTTGGGACAGAGATCACAAATTTTATCTTTTCATACACTTGTCATCATCTGAATCCCTCATATTTCCATGAATTATTCCATTTACTCTCTGCTGCTATTTATTGTTGGTTCAGTTGTGGGATCAAACTGTAATAGATTTGTGGCCCGTTTTTTCTGTTATAAACTGTTTCCTCAAACTTCATACAAGGGGGTCACCGTTGTTGTTCTCAAAGAATGTTTCGTATCATAGTGTCCTTAAATCCTGATTGTTAAAAAAGATTTGCGATAGCTTTTGTCAAAACTTGAACACCAACTTCAGAATCTGAAAACCTACAAGCATCTGCTTATGTCTACCTATACTGTAGAGTATTTACCACCCTTTGGCCCGTATTTTGGAGAAACATGTATTACTTTCTCCTTCCGATGAGGGCTTCACTCCTTCCGATGAGGACATCTTCACTCATGAAGCTTTACATGGGAAGTAGTCAGAAATCAAGTGAGCTATCATATAAATCTAAATTTACCTGGCACTGTCCATTAAATTAAACAATACAGCTATTGTTTTCACCTCCACTCTCTGGACAATCAAGTGTGTTACGTAGTCATAGGAAATACATAACCATCACCTGGGACAGTTTATTAAGTTAACAATAGAGAAAATGTTTTAAGTAGGATAAAGTCCTCAAACTGTCCATTCTGTGAGAGAAAAAACTATTCTCGGCCCTTCGGGCCTCGAACAGTTCTTTCTCTCACAGAATGGACAGTTTACGGACTTTCTCCTTTACTTTATACCTTAGAAACAACAATCTTCTTGTTTGATTTTTTATACGTATATGATACATGATGTAACCCCCCCCCCCCTTTTTCCCTAAATAAACACGGGGATATTGAACTTCATGATAAACGTGGATCTATAAATTATTTAAAAAGTCGGCGTATTTGAATGCACGCTTCTGCATTCTGAAACACGAGAACTAATGAAAATGATATACAGAAATAGGTTTATGACGACATCATCGTAATTTTGCTGTCACAAGAAAAGTGATTTTAAAAACTTACCAGCATTACGAGCATGCACGTTAATATGTATACATGTACTGTAATGTTACCAGTACGGTGCAGTTCTATACTTCTATAACAGTTTCATTGAATAACTGCAGTTTGAAAATACTCATACAGTGCGTGCATAGGATGATCCGTTAAAAAGAAACCCATGTCCCAATGCCCATTGTTTGCGAGATTGAACCTAACAATTTTAAAAATTAATATTTTTACAGTTAAACATTCTTTTTTAAAAGCAGATTGAGAATATGATATTTGTTAAAATAAACTGATGCAAATTTAGAAAATTTGATCTGCCAATACACACAGAAACGTACACTTGCGTAGGATTACATAGATTTATACGTTTAAAGTCCGAGGCTGACTTTTTAAGATTATTACGATATTCAAAAAGGCACAGTGTTATGTGTAAATGTACCGACTTTTGTAAAAAAAAAAAAAAAAGAGTCAGTGAAATAGGGAAAGCCAAAGAAAGAGCAAGGAATAACTGAGAGAGGAGAAGACCAGGAAGCGATAGAATCATTTCATTTTCCAGAAATAAATGAAATCATTTATCCGCATGCAGGTTTAGTTTCACTTTCACACACCGCTGTCAATCGATCGAATCCAGCTTTACTTATATGCGTGCTACCGATCGAGTAACTGTATATATACCGGTATATGCTCATAATCTGATCGTGCTTAAAAAAAATTAATTGGAAAATTAACAAATCATATTTTGTGTTAGAAATTTATTCAACGATAATTGCTATTTGACAGCGTCTATATTTATATACAACTCGAGTACATAAGTTCTGCTCTCTTTGGACATCGTCTCTCTCTAATTATATTGATATGTAGAAGGATGACAAATAAATAACACGGATAAAACATGCTAAAATCTTGCAAACATGCAACAGGATGTTAAAAGACAAACACTATCTGGTTTGAAAATCATATATTTATGCCAAGTTTTAGTCAAAACAATGATATTTCTTAAAAATTACGCTGCATAAGACATGCTCGGCTATATAAATATTAGTACATAATGTAGCGAGTGGGTCTTACTGACGTTATAAGCAAAGGGAGATAAGCCGCGCTGGTTGAAGCTCATCTTCGCAGTCAAGTATCTTTGATCAACTCTGCTGCCTCCAACTTGCGTAAAAAATCCAAAATGTTATTTCAGGCTGATTAATGTTGCTCAGATATACTTATTTCCGTATACAACCCCAAATGCTCAGGACATTGTTTCGTATGACCTTTAATTATGCCCCCGTAAACGAAGTTTCGGGGGTATATAGTTTTTGTCGTGTCCGTCCGTCTTTCTTTAACCTTTAACCATAACTTTTGATTTAGTGGAGCCATGACTTTCATATTTCACATGTGTATTCCTTGTGACAAGACCTTTCTTTGGGTACCACCAAATTTGAACTTTTGACCTTGACCTTGGAGTTTGACCTACTTTTACATGAAAATTTTAAACTTTTACTTTGGCCATATCTTTTGAATAGTAGATACCAGGACATTTATACTTCACATATGTATTCTTTGTTGAAAGACCTTTCATTGGATATCAACAACCTTGACCCTTTGACTTCGTCTATGGATTTCCGTTCCTTTGAAAAAACTTTAACCTTGGCCATAATTTTTGAACGGTAAGGGATAGGGCTTTCATACTTCATATATATGTAATCCTTGTGAGAAGACCCTTTATTGGATACCAAGCACTTTTACCTTTTGACCTTGACCTTTGAGTTTGACCTACTTTTAAAAAGCAAACCTTGACCATAACTTTTAAAGGGTAAGGGCTAGTGCTTTCATACTTTACATATTTAATCCTTGTTACAAGACCTTTCATTTGCTAACAAGAACTTTGACCCTTTGACCTTGACCTTGGAGTTTGACGTACTTTGAAATTTTTTTTAACCTTGGCCATAACTTCTGAACGGTTAGGGCTAGGGCTTCCATACTCTACACAAGTATTCTATGTGGCAAGACCTTTCATTGGATACCAATTACCTTTACCTTTTGACCTTGAGCTTGGAGATTTTTGTACCTATTGAAAAAACTTTAACATTTGCTTTCTTTCAAATTTCACAATTGTTTTCCAGTGAGAATACCCTACTTTTGGTACCAATCAATTAAATTTGTATGTAAGAAAAGTTTAATCTTTGCTATGTTGCCATACGGGGGCATCTATGTTTCACAAACACATCTTGTTTTACCAAGAAATAGATAGGGAAATAATCTGATGAAGAAAATAAGGACCATAGGTATTCAGCATTGTGGCTCATGGGCATCTTGTTTTAGTTCCATTTATTGACAAAAGCATTAATTAATTTATTTGGCATGCTAGTATATTTAAAATAGATAATCAAATGACTTAAAGTCAGAATATTCAAATTTAATAATAATCATTACAGCATGTCAAGCAAGGATTTCTTTTTAAATCCATGTTTGTGGTTTTACTCATAAAAAAATGATCTGAATTGGTACAATAATGCTTTGAAGTTCATTATCACATGGGTTTATAAATTGTAACATTTATTTAAGCAAATTGGTGCCACAGTATAAAAAAAAAATAAAAAGAAAACAGTAAACATTTCATAATATTGAATTTAAAATATCTTTCTTTCTCGTTGAATGAAATATGGAGTTAATGAACAGTTTCAAGTTCAAAATTCCATTTAAACAATACAAATCACAAGCAGACCTGCTAAGCATCAGAGCTAGGTGGGTTCAGACGCCATGGAGGAGTAAGCCATCTCGCTATTTTTATTGATGAGTACAAACAATATGGATGCTGCAAAAAAATTAGACAATTGATGAATAAAAATGCAAAGACTTCGATGAATATATTTCTAAGCCTTGAAGCTCACATAAGTTTCAGTTTACACCATCTTGCAAAGTGACTAGAATCGTTTGAAAAGAAAACAAACAATTGTTCTCCCAATCTTTTTCTCGCACGCTTTACTACTTCGTCTGGATTATATACATGATAGGGAGGCTCAGTGTACTCCAGCTTGATGCATTTCCCATCAAATTTTATTTCCAATTCTTCCTCCTTGATTGTTCGATGGGCGAATATTCCACAGAAGGCGTAATGGGCGATGGTACACACTACGGACTTTTCTGTCGGACTTTTCTTTTCTAAAACCACTGCCTCGTGCCACAGATTGTAGTAGGAATATCGGATGATATCTCCCATTTCAATATCTTGTTCTGTAACAACAGGCTTCAACTTGACAGCAAGAAGTTTTTTATTCATCTCATAACAGTCTTTGCAAATGATTTTGTTTTCGAATTCCTTTTCGTTTCTTGTCAGTTCATCGCTTATCCCAACAAAACCCCTAGCCCAAAATAATTTCCACGTCAATCTGAACTTTGTTACTTGTACGCTAAAATTTTGTCCTGTAACACAATGTGTAGCAAAATGTTCACAATTGTTATCGAAAAGATCATATTTGTACTTTACGCTCTCTTCTTTGTCATCATATATATTTTTGGCGCGTTGGATGGTTTCTTTTTTCGAATATTTTCTATTTCTGTATTCTACTACACATATCTTTTCTTTTTCAAAGTCAAATTTTTTGAAAGTTGATTGGATTTTGGCTTTTCCACCAAATAGCTTTGAAAGCCCGACAACAACCCCAGAGAAAGTATTTGTTGCTTCTATGATTTCAAAAGTCACCCCATCGTCTAATTTTGATATAATTATCCCGTGGTGGTCATATACTGCCCCACTACAGATCACGTGATCGCCAGCTTCAATTCCATCCGACGAAAAGACTGGGATGGCTTTCACACATTCAATGCATTTGCCTATTTCAGGATTTTCCTGTTGTGATTCTTGTGATACATCATTTTTCTTCTCATCGAGGTTAGAATCTTCCTCGATGTGTTCCTCTTTCACAGTTTGCTCGATTTTGCTATCTGTCTTACTTTCTTCTGATTCTTTGACTTTTTCTTTAAATTCCGTTATTGTCTGGAAAGATGGTGCTCTCTGCAAAAATTTTGGATCAAGAGAAGTGCTCCTCTCTAAAGCTGGTCGTTGTGTTTTCTGCAGAAGAAACTGTAGAAAAATTATTAAAATTACAAACAAAAACAAGATGTGTTTGGGAAACACCTATACCCCCGTACGACAGCTCAAGATAAAGGTTTTATTTTCAATGTAGATAAAACTCCAAGGCAAAAAGTTTAATTAGACTTTCACAGAATCTCTATTACATTGTGCCATCGTGCACCTTTTATTTTACTTTTTGATAAGACATATATTTTGGGTTTCCCATTGCAAAACATGGACACGGCCATTTGTTCTGTAATATTGATGGGTAGCTATCTCTTATTTACAACTCCTCTTATGCTACTGAAAAAAATTAATGATACTTCAACAGATTCTTTTTTGCATAAAGACATTGTGCACATGCTATTTTATTCTTATTAAGGGTCTCCCAGAGCAAAACATTGACTTTGACATTATAACCATATGGTAGGCGGGGTATCATTTAGTGAGCTCATTGCTCACAGTACCTTTAGTTTTATTTAGTCTTTTAACTTGAGAATTTTACCGAGGGTGATGAGATCGCTGGAATTGAAGATCGCTAACAATATAATGCGTATTTTTATAGTAACTTCTTTAGTGAACATTTTAAAATCGCTCAAATTTCCTTTCTCTAAAATTATATGCCGATTTTAAGAGCAAATAGTTAATTTTCCGCTGGAATTTCCACTTACACGGTAATATACATTGTAGTTTTTTGGTACATGTATACTCGTTCAAGTGAATGTTAAAAATAAAAATCTTGTTCCTATGTTTAGAAAAAAGTGTCCTTTACAAGTTCAGAAGTGTTTTTGTATTCATTAAATAAGTTATATGAGAAATTCTTACGTAATGATGCACTGAAATTATTCATTTAAAAGTAAAACAAATTATTAAAATGTCTACGAAACGGTAACGGAAACGAAAGTAATTAACAACGCAGAAAGTTGACGAGGTAGCCATTGCTGGCTAATTTATAAAAGAAACCCAGCAAGAAAGCAAGAAACCCAGCAAGAAAGCAAAACCTACTCTTGTGTCAGAATCGTCATCAGTAGTTGCAGAATTAGAGGCCATTGCAAACGATTTTACACAGTCATGATGTAAAGAGAACAGCTAGATTATCATCCAAACAGTAACATTCGATATACACTGTACTTATCTATATTTTGGCAACTTCCTATTAGCTCATTCACGTAAGTACGAAAGCCTAGTAAGGCTTATGTCAAATTTAAACTCTCTTGATGGATGTCAGAATAAACAGACGTACCAAATAAGAGAAATTCGGTTCAAAGATATATGTACGAGTAGTTTTAATTAAACAATATATTCATCCTCTCTTTCCAGGGAAATGTTAATCGTGTACACGTTTTATAAAATTCTTGTTTTTTTCCTCTACGTACGTACTGTGCAGTAACCGCCATGCTTTCTTTATGCAGGTTATCGGTGATGTAGATGTGCTAGTGAGTAATTTTTATTTTGACGAAGAGTCCGTCAACGTTTTTTGATAAATGTAAAATAAAAGTATGTTTTAAATTGATTATAGGAACAACCAGCTCTTTGTGTTTTCAACTAAAAATGTTTCCATTGGAATTGCAGTGTAATTTACACGTTGGAATGTAATAAGAGTTTGAAAATTTCATCGGTCTTAAGGACATGTATGCTTCTTCGATAAACGTTTATTTTTTAACATACATAGAATAACATTGTTCGGGTTGAAATGGGACAAAAACATTGAAAAATGTTGCAAGTTATTTTCTGGTAAATGAAGGAAGAAGAATTTTCAGTATGAAACATAAAATATGAAAAGGCAGTGAAATTAATGGTTATCTCATCAACTTGTCTCACCGAGTACTTGGCACCAATTGTACGTTTGTTTCTTATGATTTAAATGTTTTAGAGAGTTTGATAGTAATAAATGCATACATTTTTTTTTTACCGATAATATGATTATCTCATAAAACATGTCTAGAAGAGTCAGAAAAAAACACATTTATTTTTTGAAATTTAATTTTTGAAAATAAATTCATTATAAGTTTGAATATTTTTGACTCTACAGATACAATCATAAAAAATAGATGTTTCAATGAAATATATGGAAATAACGAACAGTATTCAAGCTCAAAAGTCCATTCAAACTATACAAATTAGGAACAGAGCAAACACTGACCTCTAAATCATCAGAGGTGGGATCAGGTGCCATGGAGGAGCGACCGACCGGTCACACTCACCGTGTGCTCCTTGTCATGATCATAAAATAACGGAAAAATCCATCGAAAAGTCGGTGTGTAAATAATGGTCAAATAATTAGTATGAAAAATGTCAGTCAGCATTTGACTTAATGATAAATTGAATTTACTGACAAGGTCATTGTATCGACCAGAGAACATACAATATCATGACTTCATACGAGACTATTGGTATTCTGATTCCATCAACTTGCTTGTCAATTACGTTTTAAAAGTCCCTCGTTTTAGAAATAGTTCATGCGCAGAGAAGCTCAAGAGATTGCGTATCGCATCACCTAAAAGATTTAAAGCACATATGCAGGTGATAATTGTATATTGCTGCTTAAGTATGGGGAGCTGATATTTGAAAAGTTTAAGGTAGTCCGATCCTCAGGTTTATGAAATTAGCAGTTAAGTAATCAAAAATACTCATAAAAGTATCTCTGAATCCACAAACTTATGTAATTTTATCCACAGTATTTCTTTAAAGTTAAAGATCAAAGTTAATCATATCATGTAGGGAAAATTGTCAAATCTCCAATATTTTTGCAGAAAAAGCGAATTGGAATATCAGCAATGCATTTTCTAATTGCAAATTGATCAACAAATATATTTTAGGCTGAAAACGATAGGTATCCAGGCATTCAGAGAAATTGTCATGATTTTTATACTTATTTGGCATTTGTTGTCTTCTATTTCCGTCATGTATTCTATAACACATAGTGTAAAAGGCTTTTGCTATCATCGCAAGACACCATAAATCACTTCCCATTTCATATCATGCTAAAAGCATCGGTATCTAAGGCTGGATTCAAAAAAGTCTTATTATACCCCCCGCTTGAAAAGCGGGAGGGTATATAGTGATCGGGATTTCCGTCCTTACGTCTGTCTTTCCTTCCGTCCGTCTGTACGTCCGTCCGTCCGTCTGTTACGCTTTTTCTCTTATCCGCAACTCCTCTTATACTACTGAGTGAAATTAAATGAAACTTTCACAGAATCTTTATTACATATTGCCATTGTGCACCTCCTATTTTACTTTTTTATTCGACGCGTATTTTAGGTTTCCCAGAGCAAAACATGGACATTGTCATTTTTTGTTTACCTATGACGTCACATAATAGAAGCTTCTGGATAACATTTCATAGGACGAGTTATTCCTCTTTACACATTACCGTAAAACAATATAAAGCAACACATCGACATTATGGGAGGCGGGGGGTATCATTTAGTGAGCTCATTGCTCACAGTACCTCTAGTTTCTCTAATATTGTTTTAATTTTTTTCTCCTTTTATAGGGTACAAATGTCGACTTTTAAAAGACCTTTTCAAAGACTTCCAAAGACATTGAATCTTATAAAGATAAATAAAATGAAAAAATTCATTTTGAACCTTCATTATGAAGCATTTCAAATTAAATGTTAATTTTTGGATTATCCTTCCTGGCTGAGGATCGGATATCCTTAAGTCATCAATTTTATCACAAAGCTTCATTGTTATATAACCATTAGCGTCTTTTCTAGTTAAATATTCAAATATGAAACAGATGTTGCAGAATCTGTATTCCAGTCATTTATTTCAAGTTTATTGGGATATATCGTGTCGCCAAATAAATGGAAATAACGATTGTTAATTGATGATACAGTTTAAAAACTCGTTTAGTACGAACAAGGGTATTGCGAATTCACGGATATAGCGAAGTTATCTTGAATTTCCAGCTTTTAAATTTAACAAAATCATTACACGGGCATAACGAATTACAGAAATAGCAAAATGATTACATAGGTCCTAGTGACCTCGTTATAACCGAGTTTTACTGTATGACGTTGAACCTTTCTAAATGTCGATTTGAAATTTATAGCAAGTGTTTTCTTCTCCCGTATGAAATTAAATCTGCTTCATATGAATGCAAAAATATGCCTACTAATAATACAAGTAAAGAAAGAGGATTGGTGTAGTATCATATACACTGCAAATAATGTTTTTTAGAAGTAAACTTTTGTTTGCGTGAGTATTTGAATAAAAAGTATAATATAAATCCGTATACCTAAAGAACATTGTCGATTTTGAAATCATTAGATCGGGGGCCAAGGCCATAAATTCATGCAACATGTCCGTGTATAACTTTTTTCTCAAACAATAGCGTTGAATTACACGACGTACGTTACAAAATGTCTTTCCCAGTTCCAATTTTATTCCTTTAATTTCGACATGTACACCGATTAAATATACAATAAAAGAGCATATTCGTATCTTTAAGAAAAATATGAAAATTATGATACATAATCTTTTCATTGAATCAATTCACGCATGAAAAGTAAGCCCTAAAGTACATCACTTATCAGTTGCACTTATGTGAGTTTTCTGAATTTTTAAACGATTAACTTGTACTTAAAGTTTAAATTTAAATTTTTAAAAAAAAGTTAAAGACTTGATTACACATTGCCCTCTTCATGAATTCATGGCATGCTACACGTCTGTCTTTAATTAAGTGCACATTTGGTAGTGCACTAAATTAAAGACAACCGTGTATCATGCCATAAATCCACGAAAAGAGGGCAATATGTAATAAAGTCTTTATCAAAATTTAAATATTGTTCGGTAAAAATCACTTACCATACTTTTTTTTTCTTTTTATTACTTTGAATTATGTAACAAAATAAAATTTACATGATTTGTCAAGAGTTCACAGAAGGAAAGGAGATAAAGAACACGAATAAACATTTTATTTTGTACCAGAGTGTTCGTCAAGGATATATAGATTTCAATTGCCTTTGAAGTAAAAACTTCATGGTGCATTTACCAATTTAATTAGGGTTTGAATTCGTTTCCTCGACGTTCTAGTTGGTTGTTACTTCAATAAGCATCATATGCGTTTATTTTTTTTCCCTTCCATTATGACATTTACGTCCATCAGAAGTTAGCGAACTGTACATTTACAAAAACTGCAATCGGCAAGTGGTTTGTATTTTGTTTTCCTTCAGTCATGCAGCATTCAATTTGAATGGGTTTTATTCTAAAGTGTTCTTTCATCAAACAACAATGTCTATACATGTATATAACTGAAATCATTTATGTTCATGGGGGAGCAATTTTCGTGGATGGGCCACTCTACCCACGAATTTACATCCCCAAGAACGTTTATTTTGTAAAAAAAAAATATATATTGATTCATTAAATCTACCGTAAAATTAACCCATTAAATACGTTCCCGGGAACAAGTTAAATTTTGCTTGCTCACGAGCATTGACCTCCATGAATTAAAATGATTCCACAGTACTTAAAAAATGATCCCACATCGTCATGATTGTATTATCCTATCATTTAAACTTGTTTCACAGATTTCTTTTCTGAATGTAAGAAATTTTGCTGAAGAGCTTTAAGTTTGTCTAATTTCAAAAATATAATTATAATTCAATTCGTTATCAGATGTACGAAAGCAAAGAAGTAAACAAACAACAGGAAAACTTTTTTTTTTTTTTAAATCGATTTTGATAGTGTCTTAAATCGAAAAGAAAATATGTATTAAATCAATATTTATTGTTGTCTTCATTATTTTTCAAAATTGAAAAAAAAAATGTAACACAAATGCATCAGTTTTGATTATTACGTGATTATGTTTCAGTGTCCAAATGTTATTTATTTTCATGCTTAAAATTGTTTTTTCTTTAATATTTTACTGTTTGCTTTTATTCATTCATTGCTTTTCCGAGTTTGAAACAATGAGAGACTTAATGTATTGCTATACTTATCACACACACCTACTTTACACGATTCGTTTGCTTATATATAAACTAGAGAAAGTTGCATGCAATGGAATCGCATTCTTCTTTACCGTTCGCACCGTTCAAAGTAAACAACAAATTTTTTCACATGATATGTAGTTATGTAAATTTCAATAGAAAGAATTTGCGCCATTTTAAACACGTAACAGTCCACTCAACAGTTTTAAAGAACTGGTTAATATTCAGCACAAAAGGAGCATTTTAA